AAGCTCACTGAGACCAAGTTTGCCTGGCTAATGCATCCTGACTTTTAGATTGAAGACTTAAATATCTCAAGACTTTGGACAGATTCTTTGGAGGACACAGAGCTTGGAGGAGGAAACCAGATTCAAAAATAATACCTGGAATTGTTTCAATAGTGCTATATCTGATCTTACCAGGACCAGGGGAGCAGCCAAAATGTGGCCATCTGTTTCCGCTCCCCCCTGCCCTCCTGGCTGACTCCAAACCACCCCCCAAGCAGAAAAGGCATCAAGCATCCCACAGAGGAAGGACAACTCAATAAACCTAACCCCAAAAAGGAACACTTCATTTTAGCAGAGGAAGCAGTAGTGGTGTGACTCACTCGGTGGCTTTTGAGGCTCTCCCCCACCTTGTCACTTGCAGGTTATTTTTGTGTTTGCTCTGTTACAACCATGCACCTCTTGAGCCATTTGCCTCCCCAGAACATCAGGGTGGTTCAGGAGATCTTTGGGGGTGCTGCCTCCCAGGTTGGGATACACGGGAGCCAGCAGGGATTGTGCACCTCCATTCCCTGGGATGAGCATATGGCAGCGTTTTCACTCCTCTGCTCCCTGCTCCTGACCTGCCAGGACCCTCCCAGGGCCAACTCTGTTCCTCCAGACAGGACATGGGGAGGGGGATCATGCTTGATCAGACTCAGCTGCTCCCCTCACTGCTCCAGGGAAATCTGTCCCACCTCCCATCCTGGCCAGCCTTTTGTCTGGGTAATGTTCCCTTGGTGTGGTTTCATCACAGAGCCCTTCGTTTAATTTGGCCTCTCCAAAAAACTTTGGGAGACAGGAGCATCATCCACAGCCCTGGAGGTGGCCACTGTGGGCACAGCTCAAGGGGCAAATAAATCCTCAGTGAGATTCATCTCACACCAGCTCAAGGGGCAAAATACTCAAGGGGCAAGTACCCAGTGAGATTCATCTCACAGCAGCTCTAGTGGCAAATACTCAGTGAGATGAATCTCACCAGCTTAAGGGGCAAATCCTCACTGAGATTCATGTCATACCAGCTCAAGGGGGAAATCCTCAGTGAGATTCACCTCACAGCAGCCCAAGGGGCAAATATTCAGTGAGATCCATCTCCCACCAGCTCAAGGGGCAAATCCTCAGTGAAATTCATCTCCCACCAGCTCGAAGGAAAAATACTCTGTGAGATTCATCTCCCACCAGCTCTAGGGGCAAAATCTCAGTGAGAATCATCTCACACCAGCTCAAGGGGCAAACACTCAGTGAGGTTCATCTCACACCAGCTCGAGGGCTGTGCCTGCTGCACACAAGGACAGGAAGGCTCATGGCAAGAGTTCCCTTGCCAGGACAGCTCTGAGACACAAACTCTGCTCAGACAGAGCAGCAGGGCAGGTTTGTCAGGGAGTTTTCTGCTGCCATCCCAAGCTAATCCTCCACCTCCTGCACCCTCCTTCAGACAAGTGGCAGAAATGGACCTCTGGGATGGTCTTTTCAGGGCTGTCACATTAAGCCATCTGTATGGCCACATTGACAGGAGGACCATACTGCAACACAATATGTTGCCTCAGCACAGGAAACACACTCAGAGCCCCCAGCACTTCAGCTGAGGGGGATTTTTGTGCCTTTTCCCTCAGCCACCGCTGTAAAGCTGAGCTGAGAGGCAGCTCCATCCCCCAGCAGGAAGCTGTGTCTCATTAGCAGAGGTAAACAATTCCTCTGAACGTGACGAGTCAGGAGAGCATATTAAATATGTCAATATCTCAGGGTTTTTTAATCCCTACTCCAGAACAGCTTGCTGTGGCAGGAGAGAGCCCCCCAGCGTGGCTCAGAGCCCCAGCACAGCCCAGCTGGCATCTCCCCCTCTTTGAGGGGGTTGTGGGGTGCCCTCACTTCTTAACCTCACCCACCCAAGCCAGCCTGAGCACTCCATTGATTTCCCTTGTTCAGTTTTCACAGCTGCAAACAAACAAACAAAATAAACAAATAAATACATAAATAAGTAAATAATCCAGCTATTTTATTTTAAAACATCAACCCAAGCACCCTTTTGTGAGTAACCTCCCTGCTGCAGGGTGGGCACTCAGCAGCTCCAGTCCCAGCCCTTCCTTCCAGCACACACGAGGTGACAAAAGCCACACATGGCCCAGGCTGAGGCTGTGACAGGAGGAACAAACCCCAGCACAGCTTTTGCAGCTTCACTGCCACGCAGGGGTGTGTCAGAGCGAGACTGGGCTGAAAACACTTTGAGTTTTGACCTGTTTTCTCATGTGCTGCTTTTCCTGGCAGCCTCGTGCACACCACACACACACAAGGTGTGCTGTGTTTACAGGAGTCCCCTGTGTCCCCAGGGCTGCCTCCCCTGCACAGGAGCCTGGCTCTCACCTACACATCAGCCACTCACTGCTCTGTTTTCCCCCCGTGCTGACAGAGCAGCCTCCTGCCTTATTTACACTGTGCTGCTCACATGCTGCTGCAGACACAGAATTGTTTGTGTCCTCAGGAGTTTCTCAGGGCTCCTGGGTGCTGTGGCCTCCAGTGACTTGGCAAACAGTGCACATCTCTGAGCTCTGAGGAGGCACCAAAGGCCCATTTTACACACATGGAGTAGAGAAGCTCTAAGTCATTTCCAAGACTTTTGGTTGCCTGGTAGGAGGTGGCAAAGCCCAGATTTTCCAGAGCACGTTGTGTTACTCAGAGGTTTCCACGTTCAAAGCACAGCCCCACTTTGAGAGCATCTTCTTGTACCAGGTGCCCAGGGCACCCTAAAAGCCCTCACAGCACTCAGACTCCAACAATTCCCTGGGTCAAAGCCAGCTTGGACACAGGAGCAGCCTCATCCCACACCTGCAGCAGCCAGACACACCCAGCCTGCTCAGATCCAGCCTGCAGTCACTTTTTGGAGCCTCCAGGTATCAATATCAGCTCCCCACTCCCTGGCACTGCAGGAAATCCGCAGGGCCAGGCAGGAACATGCTGATCCCACACACAGCACAGAATATCCACAAACCAAAGCACAGCACCCAGCTCGGCCTTACCTTGAAAGCCGCTGTGCTCAGGAGAGCCAGACCTCACCTCCAGTAGGCTCCTCACCTCCAGCCAGCAGCTCTGAGCAGCCCCAGCTGCTTTATCACCTCCTCCTCCTCCTCTGCCAGGTGCCTCTGCCTTCCTGAGCAGGGTCCCAGAGCAGCAGAGCCCGCTGTCATACCAATCCCTCCCCAATCCTTTGGATTTTGATTCTGAGAGGGAGGCAAAGTGACAGCAAAGAGATGCTTCATATGCAAAAACACGGATTTGCAGCGTGTTGCAGAGTTTTTTTGTGGTCTGTACCCAGCAGAACACAGCCCTACACAATCCCCAAAGCAGGGGTGAGCCATGTGCTCACTCCTGGGGGCAGAGGCTGCAGGGCAGTGGTGCTGGGCTTGGACAAACATATGGGTGAGCAATAAATGCATTGGCACAGCTTCCCACCCCCAGAACCTCAACATGACCTTGACACTGTGTCCTAGTGCAGCTCAGCGCGTGGGCATGTGGAAGTTAAAGAGATCTTTTGTCCCTGCAAAACACACCAGCCTGGCTGTGTGGGCAAAATGGGATGGCTGGATGCTCTCTCCCACTGGCCTGGAGGCAGTGGACATTGTCACCTGGGTGGGATGAGCCATCCTTCCCACCCCATTCCCTCTGGGCAGGAGCACAGATCTCTGCTCTCTCTGCTGCTGCTCAGTTCTGTCCCAGCTTGGAGCTGGAGAAATTCGGTTTCCCTCCTCTAGCTGTGCTCAGAGGCACTGAGGGGATGGTGTCAGCATCAGGAGCCATGAGAGGCAGGGTGTGCCTGGGGGATTGCAGCCATTCAGCTCCTCCAAGGCTGCAGGATGAACACATCTTTCTGTAGGCTTGTAAATCAGCCAAGCTTAACCCAGGTTTCTCAGAGACCATCTCAGGGAAGGAGCTTTCTATGAAAATTGCCCCGTGCCAAATTGAAAAGTCCTTTCCCAAAGGGCCTTTCAGAGGAAACAGCTCAGCCGTTCTTAGAGCTGAGGCAAAGCCACATCTTTCTGCCTTAAATTCTCTCTCAGAACCAGCATCCTCCAGAGCCCTGGCACCCTCCAGCCCAGCCCAGCAGTTAAGGCTTGCCCCAAGCAGCCCAACCAGAGCCGGTGTGCCCACACTGCCCACGCCATGCCAGGCTTTGCATTCCTCTCAGGTGACCTGTTGTGGTGTCATGTCATGGTTTGCCCCAGATACCCCAGGTTTCTCCCTGAAGATTCCTTGCCCAGGTGTGTCAATCATCCCTCTTTTCCACACCCTGACCCTTACTGAGCGCTGTCTGTCAGTCCTGGCATTCCAGAAGGGCATGAGTGATTGGCAGAGTTCAAAGGATGCCCTCCACCCGTGGGGGGCATTTGGCCATCCAGGTGTCCTTTGTCCCTTAAGACTTCTTCTCCCATACCTGGTTGGTGGCTCCCTACCCCTTCCCTCCCCTCTCCCCTGGGTAAAAGGGCAAGTAAACCACATGGTTTGTGACTTCTGCTGGAGCTGTTCTGGATTCAGAAGACTGTGGGCCAGAATAAAGCTCTGGATCCAAACCCTCCATCAGAACCAACTCCTTTCCTTCACCATCGCCTTAAAGCTTCTCCAGCAGAGGGAAACCCAAGGAGCAGACCCTGTTGTGGGGGAAAGCTCCATCCCAGCACCACCAGAGCTCCTGCAGGCCTGGACTTGTCCCCACAGGCCCAGCTGCAGCACCCAGCCAGCCAAAGGTGTCACTGGGGTGAAACACCACACATCCAGCCAGTCAAAAGTGTCTCTGGGGTGAAACACCACACATCCAGCCAGCCACAAGTGTCTCTGGGGTGAAACACCACACATCCAGCTAGCCAAGGGTGTCTCTGCAGTGAAAACACCACAGTACTGCAGTTTGGTCAAGCAGCAAGGGCCAGACAAGCTCAGGCACGTTCCATATACAATATTGGTAATTATTCCAATAATGACCGTTGTTGTAATTCCAGGAGAACCCGTACCTGTGCAGTGACGAGTGCGACGCCTCCAACCCTGACCTGGCTCACCCGCCCAAGCTGATGTTCGACAGCGAGGACGAGGGCCTGGCCACCTACTGGCAGAGCGTGACCTGGCGCCGGTACCCAGAGCCACTGCTGGCCAACATCACCCTGTCCTGGAACAAGAGCATCGAGCTCACCGACGACATCGTCATCACCTTCGAGTACGGGCGCCCCACCATCATGATGCTGGAGAAGTCTCTGGACAACGGGAGGACTTGGCACCCGTACCAGTATTATGCAGACGACTGCATGGAGGCCTTCAGCATGCCAGCAAGGAGGGTCCGGGACCTCTCCACCACCAGTGCCAACAGGGTCCTCTGCACCGAGGAGTATTCCCGCTGGGCGGGCTCCAAGAAGGAGAAGACCGTCCGCTTTGAGGTGCGGGATCGCTTCGCCATCTTCGCCGGCCCCGACCTCAAGAACATGGACAACCTGTACACGCGGCTGGAGAGCGCCAAAGGGCTCAAGGACTTCTTCACCGTCACCGACCTGCGCATGAGGCTGCTGAGACCTGCCCTAGGGGGCACCTACGTGCAGAGGGAGAACCTGTACAAGTATTTCTACGCCGTCTCCAACATTGAAGTCACCGGCAGGTAACGGCTGCTGGGTTTCTTTGGGCGTGGATCCTTGCTGGAAAACCGAGCAATCAGCATTTCTGCAACTGAGAGAGAACTATTTCTCCCTCTAACACCCCTTCCCCCCAGGCAGGGCAGCAGATGTGTCCTTGCAGGGAACGGCAGGGGCACCTCCAAGGCTGTGTCCTCCTGCAGCTGTCCTCCTGAAGCTCCCTGGGATGTGGCTTGGAAGGATTCTCAGGGTCTGAGCTCCCTCCAATCCCCTGTCCCAGCTGTGCAAACACAGCCAGTCTTTGCCCAGATGTCTCAGGGGTGATGCTGGTGGATATGGGGTGTGGAATGAGGCTCACCCCACTGAACTCCAGCTCCCTGCCAGTACAAGCAGGGTGGGTCACCCCAGTCAGTCCTGCACACCCTGAGCAGCCCCAGCCCTGGCAGATGAAATTTGGGGTAAGGATAAACCCCCTGACACATCTGGGGCAGAGGAAGCAGGAGGGGGTTTGTTTCTCCTGGGCTTTGTTTTTCATTTCTCTATACGATGCCATATGTTACATTATGACATCAACCGAAAAAGCAAAGTAAGGTGGAAAAGTGCCGAGATGGCTGATTTCCCATCCAGCTTGTGAGAGACTTACAGGAGAGAGGGGAAAATCTCCCCATCACCCACCCCATGCTAACAAGCATCACCACAGCGACAGAGGAGCCGTTTGTATCAGTTCCAAACAGTTTGCTTCTGAGACTTGCAAGTAGAAATGTTTGCAGGTGCCACCGAGGCTGGCTTTGAACAGGCTCCAAGGGGAAGGAAGCTGCAGGGAGGGATGGGAGAGCCCTTTCCACCCGCCAGGGCAGGCAGGAGGCAGCAGTGAGGGTCTTTGTCACGGCGTGGTGCCTGTCTGGGATGAGCAGCTGTGGCTCTCAGCTGGGCTGGCGGCATTTTGGGGTGCCCACCATGGGGATTGCTCAGGGAGAGCCCTGGGGGGCTCAGGCATGTGGGCACAGGAGTGGGAGGGCATCCCCACATGTGTCTGGTCAATTAGGACTCAAGTTTCATGTCAGTATTTGTGCAATGAGCTTTGGCTTCCAAGAGCAGCACAGATAACCAAGGACTTGCTACTGCTCCCACAGCAGCCTGGGGATGCTTGATGCTTCAAAGAGTTAAAATACCCTTGGTGTCCCCTGAACACCTTCCCCTTCTGAGCCATTTACCTTTCCTCCTGTCTTGGGCAGGATTTGTTCGCTCAGTACTTTGGCCTTGAGGCCGTGCTGGTGGGATTCTCCCCAAACCAGCACTTTGCTCTCAGTTGTCCTCCTCCCCTCTCCCCAGCCCCCCGTCAGCTTTTTAATACCAAATTCAATACCAAATTCAATACCAAATTCAATACCATTTAATAGCCACAGGGCTTGTTTCAAGACAGAAAATCCCTAAAAATTCCGTGCAAAGAGGCAGCTAGGGAAGGGGAAGAAAAACCCCCTCAAACACACCCAGGGCTGGAGCAGCCGCAACCTCTACAAAATTCCACATCCACCCCGAGGGCAGCTGGGGGCGGGCACGGCCGGGCTGCCGGCGCCCCGTGCAAGCTGCAATGCTGCTTTTCAGCCGTGGCCAAGGCGAGCCGGGCCGGGGTTTGTTGGCCGGTGCCCGGCGGGCGCTCCCGGCGCTGGCGCGGTGCCGCCGTGGCCGCCTGCCCGCGGCTGCTGCAGCGGCTCCGGCTCCGCTCCTGGCTCCGCTCCCCAAAACCCGCCCGGCCGCAGCCTCCCGGCACACCCCGAGCTAATCCTGCAGGGCCGCCGCGAGGAGAGGGCTTTTCCTTGGCTGGGAGCAGGGAAAACGCTGCAATCTGCTTTTGTCAGCCCGAACTCCCGAGTTCTGAGCTACAGTAAGATGCTGCTTGCAGTGCTTCAGCTTGCTGGGTTGGTTCCCAGGGGAGAGGGACACTCATTCTGGACAGGGAACAGGTCAGTCTTGTTCTCAGCTGACTTTTCCATCCCCCATGGGCATAGGTGAGCAGCTGAGGAGCTGTGGATAAGTGGTGTATAAGATGGAGAAGCTCTCTGTGAATTAACTCTGCTGCTGCGATTATTCCAGTCCCAGCAAGCAGGTTTTTGCACTGAAAAGCAATCTAATTCCAGCTGTAAGCAAAGCCAGTTACAGTGCAGGGACTAAAACCAAATTAAATCTAGTGTATGGCTCAACAAGGGATGGGTTATTGAGGGGAAGAGAGGAGAAATCAATGTGAGCCTGACAGGAGCGCTGTGCAGGGAAAGGGGGAGGCAGGGTGGGCAGGGATGGGGATGGACACACACTGCCTCTTCCAGGACATGGTGGAGGAACAGCAGGAAAGTGCATAGAAAAAACGGGGGTGGTGTTAGGGATGCACTACAGGGGGCATGGAAACAAGAGGGAAGATGATTGTGAAGAAATGAGGAGTCAAGGGCAAAATGCAGCCAGAAAATTCCACCTGGAGAGCAGAGTGAGCAGCCCCAGGGGCTGAAGGAGCTGTCCCTGGCCACAGTGCGGGGCACTGTGTTCCCTCTGTGTGTGGCATTGGGATTTTGGCAGTGCCCTCAGGATGATAAGGCACTTGGCAGCTCATTTCCAGCCGGAGTTCATGGTCAAGGGAAGAGAAAACACTTTGCCCTCAGAGCAGACCATGAGCCCATGTGGTTTCTTGTGCTGCAGCCTTACCTGGTGGGTTCAGAGCTTTCTGTGATCCCCTCCTGGCCCCCATCCTTTACACTCCAGCTTCACACCAAGGAAAACCCCTCACCACCACCTCCCAGAGCTTTAGGGGAAAGCAAAAAGAGAGCAAAGGACATGGGGACAAGGAGAAAGAGTTTTCTGTCTTCTTTTGTCCTGTAGGCCAGAGGATCTGGTGAATCCTGGGGGTCACTGCTTCATTCCTGGGTGTGGGGACAGTGGGCTGCTCCCTCGGGGTCTCCTCTGCATCTCCTCAGCCAGGTCCATCTCTCTGGTTCATGGCTGACAGTTTATTTTTACTCTCTTTCTTCTCGGTATCTTTTTCTTTTCTTATTTTCCCCCCTCCCTTTCTTCTCCCATCCTGTCCCTATTGATCTGCAGAGTAACTGGAGATGCAGAAGAGTCAGGACAGGAATAGACACAAGCAAGCCCTTGCTCTGTGTGCTGTGTGTGTGCCAGGCAGGCTGGGCAAGGGAAGTGGAAGGACTTTTCCCCACAGATCTCTCTATTCACGGCTCAATTTTCTCCTCAGTGCAGCAGCGAGCTCAGGCACGGGTGAATGAGCTTTCCCTGGCTGCCAGGGCTGTGGTGAGAGCCACTGCTTGTGCTTCCATGGCACTCTGGGGTCTCTCTGGAGTAATTTCCTCCCCTTCAGAACGTCAGTCAGCGCCGTGCTCAGCAGGGCACGCTCCATCACGGAGACATTAATAAGCTGTAATTGAAGTTAATGTGCCATGGCCAGGACATGTGGATCCAGTTAGGAGAAATCAGATTGAGCAGAAGTGAATCAATTTTAGGCTGGTTATTAGGATTTCTCCCCTCTGTCCTGCCCTGCCCCAGTGCATGCACTGTCTGTCTGTCTGTCCATCCTGCTGGTGATGAGCAGTCCCTGGAGGAAGGCAGGAGGAAGAGGAGCTCCATGGAACAGAGCCTCTTCTCAGGCTGTGCTTAGGCCAAAGAGGCACCAGCAAGATGAGGTTATTAGTTTTGAAGTGGCATTTCCTTTCCTCCAATTGCTCTTCTTAGGCTTTCCTTACACCAAAAATTTTAAGGGAAAGACATTTTGTGCTTCCCTGCTTCTTTCCCTGGTGTGTTCCCAGTGCAGTCTTGTGCATGGATGCTCTCCAGGAGGATTTTCTCTCCACATGACTTGGAGAGTTGGTGCTGGTGGAGCAGAACAGCTTTGGCCAGGCTGTTATCCTGGTGCCACAGCCACGATCAGGCACTCCAGACCTGCAGGACCAAGGCCACCCCCAAAAGCACCTCCTGCAATGACAGGAGCTGGAAATGGTCAGTGGTACCCACGTGCAGGGGATGTATTTTTCTGCGTTTGTGGTGAGTTTTGAGATGTGGAGATGATTGATGCTGCATTGCTGCTAAAGATGAATGAGTTCCTGGTCACAGTGCACTTCCCCTGTGGCTGTGGCTCAGTTCCCACCAGGGGTGCCAGCACAAAGCACATCCTGGCTGCCCCTGAGCTGCTTTGCCCTGGCTGGACATTCCTTCTTCTGGCTCTGTTGTGGGAGACCTTCCAGCTGATCTTGACTTCTCCAGCAAAGCTGTCTTTAAATTGGAGAAAAGGTTTGGTCTGTGGAAGGGTCTCTTGCTGAGGGTCTCAGATTTTGTGTGGTGGCTGGTGGTGGCAGCAAAGGGGAACAGGCAGGACCTGGGGTGAATGATCTGTGAGAGCAGAGGCTTCCCCAGCTGAGCTTGCTCAATCCCATTTTTGGGGCATCACTCCCAGAAGAGCCACAGGCTCATCCAAACAGCCCCCCAGAACAAGCCCAAACACCCCTGCAGCCCTCAGCCCACACTTGGCAGCTTTGGGATGACCACAAAACCAGGGCAAGCACTGCCTGTGCCCATCCCTGCTCCTCCCTGCAGCTCCTGGCAGACAGAACTTGGTCCCAGGAGGCAGCAGCAGCATCCTCGTGTCAAGGACAGCCAGGGCTGTGCCAGCAGTGTTCCTGGGCCCGTCCTCTCCTCCATGCTGGGCAGCCCCAGAGCTGGATGGCTGAGCTTCCCTGGCATTTCTCCAGGCTGGAATTAGCTTGAGTTCCAGCAAAACCTTGCTCTTGGTCATATAGTTATAAGTTAATGTGCAGCAACTGTTTGCTGGAGTCCTGCAAAGGTTTCAACTCCCACTGCAGCAAGGTGGGGAGGAAACTCTGAGTGGGAGGGAGAGAGGGAGAAACCCAGAGAGCTCCTCCCTCCCCCAGACACTGCTGACACTTTGTCGATAGCCAGAGACTGATGCCCAAGGTCCTATTACCTGCTCCTGGCTCTGCTTTGTGAAGGGTTTTATTCCCCCTCCGATTTT